GATAAAGAATCAAAAGACACTTTTTTTCAAAGTAAACAAAGGAAAAATGTTTGGAAAAACAGGTCTGGCTGGTATGTGCCTGGTATGCAAGACACTGGTGACAGTCTCCATGACACAATGACTACTGCCATGACAAAGGTTCTGTCTCAAAAATCAAGGTATGTACTGTCTGAAAGGTTTTAATGCATTTAAATGACTAACAGCTGATCATGCACTCATGTTAGTAGATCGCAGAGAGGGACAGAACTGCTGCATGACATGGAAGTGTCAAAACAAGACTTCGAGCAAGAGGTAACTTGGCAAATGGAAAAAGCCATTGGTTGATTTTGAGATGGGACTGACGATTTGGACTAATATAAGCTCCCCATGCAAGAACTTAATATATTATATTCAGCCATTGCCATTGTTTATACTCTCTCTCAGGTACCAGGAAGTAAAAGTCAGGATACTACAGAGCACTACAATTAGTAAGAGAAAAATCTTAGGAGACTGCAGTTTCTGTAGTAACATACATGTGCAGCGACAGACACTTTCCCAGCAGGGCCTAGGAAATGGCACAACAAACAACAGGACGTAACGTCTACTTGACCAGTATAAAAACGGCTTTCCCAACAAAATCAGCTACCAGAACATAATAAAGGATGCCTGAAAAATATTTATGTCTGACATCAATACAATCTGGAATGTGAAAAGAGCTGGGAGCAATACATGAAGAAAAGCGTAGATTAGTCCATGATCAGAGAATTTGTTCACCAGAGAAAGGTTTAGCTTTCATTTAAGCCTCACTTACAAAACACTGTAAATGAAACAAGCAACCCTTTCTACAATCTACGAGAATCCAAAATTTCTCCCATGGCCAGAGAGGAGTATGAATATTGTGGAAAGAACTACGCCCTGCCAAACAGAAGCTTCCTCTACTCCATTGTACCTCCAGCACAATGACACCAGCTTCTCCTCTTACAATCGAGCTATGTACCATTCCTATAAACACACATATTGCAGCTGGGGGAGCCCAGTATTATTATCATGTTAACACACTTCCTTCCCCAAAGTACTAATGATTGAGTTTGTTCATTAGGTTGATTAGACCTTTTGACTTCTTAAGAGCCAATTCCGGCTCAACTGCTGCTAGATGATAGGAAAACTTTAATCATCAAGGTCAAGCGTGAGCTTTTCAGCTTAGAATGCATTAGTACCTTCCATCCTCCATGACCTCCAGAAGGGTGAACACACTGTTGCTAACCCCCATCCACAGCTTCATTACAAAAAGACAAGCTGGACAATAAGACCATTTTCTTGACAGATTTAGTTAACTGTGAGTTATAAAGCTAATCAGCTCTGCTTTTACTGATGGATGACATTATACATGAGGGGACATGCTAAGAACTGCAGGTATTTTGTGAAATGAATGGTCTTGCTCACATGTAAAACAATTATAATAATTTGTCCTGATAAACCCATCAACTCCTAAACTTGCTGTTTCCAACAATTAGAATTTAGGCCTAGATTCGTCAACACCTTAAATATACATCATTCCCCTCTCCAACTATAAATGCATAACAAAGGCTAAGATATGGCATTGCAAATGCTCTAAATGTGTGCACAACGTGACTATATGAGGAATCTAATTTGATCTGTAATATTAGATAATTCACATATATTTCAAGATTGGATCACAAAATTATTTTTTTAATACACAAATTTACACATTTCAAAGACATTTAATCTGCAATCTTAACACAAGAGAAGTAACTTTAAAATAGAAGACTAAGATTTAAGACTCGCAGATGCATTAAAAAAATAAGTGCCTTTTCTTTATGCCTTTGCAAATCTCCCTTTATATGAATATTTTATATTCATATGGCATAATGAAGTTCATCAGGGCAGTGCTGCTGTCTCATGACCCCTTAAAAAGCTGAAAAGTTTCAGCCCACATCTGATCTGTTGCCAGCCCTATTTTTAAATTGGAATTCTGTTACATTCTGAAATAATGTTTAAATAATGTTTGAAACTACTTAAGGCAGCAAGTGAAAAACAAAAGCAGTCTAGGACTTAATTCATACTGTTCTAGAGCTCCATGAAACCTGCTGTTATGTTTTAAGAAGACATAATACAAACTGAAAGATAAAGCCCAATTTTGATTAGCTAGCCTGTAAAAAATTTCACCATGATCCCCCATTTTTCAAGGGAATCACTTTTCCTCAGAAAGAAAAACTTTATTTCAGAAGAGGGTACAGGACCTCGTGCAGACAGTTATTGTCTGTGTCTCACTGACACTGTGTAGTGTCAGTGAGAGAAGTATTATCTGAATTGTCCAACTTACCATACTCACAGACAGGCCAGCTAACCGGTTACGGCAATAACTTTCACAGTGAATATAATGGACTAAAAATACGTGGGCAGAAGACAGCACAGATTAGAGAAGGACTTGGATGAAGGGACAGAGGCAAACACAAATGATACTTCTGGAAAGACACACCACAGGTGCTGAGATAACTCATGGAAGTCTAACTATTCCCACTCCTGCAAAAGATGAGACACCAAAGTGTGCATCTGGATAATGGGGCTTTAAAGCCAGCATGTGACTGCTGGAGAAAACATTAAGATAATAAAGACAGGGTTCAAATTAGGTCAACAGTGAGAGTCTCTTGCACAAGCAAAGATTTCACAAAACTTGATTCTAAGGGTAAAAAAACCCCAAGAAACAAAAAACAACCCAAACCTGAAGACTTTGTTTGGCCAACCCTAAAAGTTATGCCATGGAAA